GGGAAGGAAAGGAGAAAGAGGGAACTGTGGTTGGCATGTAAAATGAATGAAAAATTTAAAAAAGAAAAAAAGAAAAGAAGCCATTTCAGAAAGGACTGCTATAAAATTGTTCATTCTGAAGGGAAAGAATTCACTCCCTTGGGAATAAAACAGAATCCTGGAATAGAAAGGCAGGGGACCTGGCTTGCTTTCAGCTTTTACTCTGACCCCTGCCGATCCTGTCTCTCAGCCTCATTCTTCACTCTGCCATCCTAGAGGCCCCTTTTCTTTCCTTCTGAATCCGTAGATCCAGTGGAAGCCGAGGCCAGACTCTCCCCCACTCACCTTCCCGTCTCACGGAGTACTATAGTATGTTAATGCCATGCTTCAGATTCCCTGGCAGATGAAGCCAGACTAGGCTTGTCCAGAATGAGAAGGAAAGGAGCTGATTGCAGAGCAGGATGGTGCTCTGGACCCACAGGCAGGAGGAGGGAGGCGGAGTTTTTCTAGAGATGATGCTCTCCTCCCTGCCTCCCCCTTCTCTCTTCCTTGTCCTCCTCCTCTTCCTCTTCTCTTCTCCCCTCTCTGACTTTTAGATGAGAGCTCACTCTGTAGCCCAGACTGACTTGAACTTGTGATTATCCTCCTGCCTCAGCTCCTCAAGTACTGGGATTATAAGTATTAACCACCATGCATAGCTAACTAGAGGGTACTTTTCTCAGGACAGCGATTCCATCCTGGATGATGGTATCTGATGTTGATCCTTCATAGAAATCTGACCTCAAATGATTTTAGCTTCTGTCCTCGGGTTGCTTGTGTTTCTTGCTTTTGAGCCTCAGCTGTTACTAATTTTAAAAGTTTTGAGAACCTGTGGGGACTTTTGACACTGAGAACTTACATACTGAACTTGTCAAAAATTCCCAGCACAGAAATTCATCTCCCATTGGCCCGTGGGCCTTAGTGTTTAGGAGAAAACAGTCATTCGCTGAGACATGGCTGCCATACCTGGCAGAGGAGCATATACTCTGGACTTTAAATGCTGCCGTCCACTTCCACACCCATGTTTTGCAAGGGGATGTGTTGTGATGTAGATTTGCTTCTGAGACTCTGTGGACGCAGGCTGTTGTTTGGCAGGGTCTAGGGTGCAGTCTGTTGTCCTTAAAGCCTTGCATCAACATGGCTCCATGCCAGGCTGAGTTCCAGAGGGAAGAATAACTGTCTGGGGTTCATTCTTTTTCCTTCTTTTCCCTTTAATTGAAAATAGATTTTTTTTTCTCACACAATATCCTGATTATTGTTTTCCCTTCCTTTACTTCTCCCAGTTCCTCCTCACCTCCCTTCCTATCCAGATCCACACCCTTTCTGTCTCCCATTGGAAAACAACCAGGCTGCTAAGGGTTAATAATAACATTTAATAAGATAAAACAAAAACCAACACATTGGAGTTGGGCAAGGCAAGAAGGAGCCACTTGTTCATATACTCAGGAATCCCAAAAATCACTAAACCGGAAGCCCTAAATTTCCACAGAGGACCTGGTGCAGACCTGGGCGGTTCCAGCGCATGCTGCTTCAGCCGCTGTGAGTTTGTGTATATGATGATCTTGTTGATTTAGAGGACCTTGTTCTCTTGGTGTTCTTCATCCTCCCTGACCCTTGCACTCTTCCTCCTCCCCCACGGGGTTTCCTGAACTCTGAAAGGAGGGATTTGCTGGAGACATCCCATTTAGGGCTGAGTGTTCTAAGGTCTCTCACTCTCTGCGTAGTGTCTGGCCATGGGTCTCTGTATTTGTTCCCTGCTACAGGAGGAAACTTCTCTGCTGATGGCTGGGAAGGAACTGCATCCCTTGATGGAGCCTGGGGTTAACTCTTAGGAGAACAGACCAGGCACAGCCAGGGTAGCACTGCAGCCTGAACTAATTTGAGCTCTGGTTGAATATGTAAGGGGAAGAGATCGAAAAGAAATGTTGAGAACTATGGACTCCATAATTTTCCTGCTTCTGTTTTTCTTTAGAAAGGTCGATAGAGTCACAACTCACCTCTGATCACAGCTTTGCTGGGCTGGAGACCAGGCTTAGGTGGGAGTGGGGGAGATTTGATTGGCTGAGGGTAAATAAGATGCCCGGCTCTCACTCAATACTATGAAATCACATTATATGCAGCAGTCAAGGTGAGAAGTTTCTAACTATATGTGAGAAAGGGTGAGTGGAGCCCAGACAACCCAGAAAGCCCCAGGAGAGTCTGGTAGGGAAAGCAGCATTGACTGTCAACTTAGCCTAGAGTCACTTGGAAAGGACGTCTCAACCGAGAGCTGGAAAAGATCAAACTGGTCCACGGGCATGTCTGTGAGAAAGTGTCTTTGTGGTTACCTGATATAGGAGGGCTCAGTCCTCTGTGGGTGGCTCCATTCCCCAGGCAGGTGGTCCTGAACTATATAAGAAAGCTTACTGAACATGGACCTGAGCAAGCCCCAAGCAGTGCCCCTCCAGGGTTTCTGCTTCAAGATCTTGCTTGAGTTCCTCTCCTAACTTTCCTCAAGAGGAGACTATGATGTGCAAGTGTAAGCCAAATAAACCTTTTCTTCCCTTAAATTGCGCTTAGGCAAAGTTGTTGCTGTTGTTGTTGTTGTTGTTGTTGTTGTTGTTGTTGTTGTTGTTTTCACAGAAACAGAAAACAAGCTAGATCAAGCACGGTAGAAGGCAGTGAATAGAGAGAGGGGAGGAGAGTCCTTGAGAGCAATGCCTGATGATCCTGGGACGTTTTACCCCTCTTCTTTCCCTGGGATGAATTGCCAGTCTTCCAAAGTTGCACTAGCCAACCTAAAGAAAGTCTGATTGATCAACAGTGGTTTTGCAGAGGGCAGGACTATGTTTTCACACACACACACACACACACACACACACACACACACACATACACACACCAATTTCCCTGAATTGGTTGTTCACTTGAAGTGTCTTAGAGGTGTTCTCCTGAATCTAGCCTGCACTGGTACTTCATGGCTACATCCGTCACACTCGCATCTAGCAAAGCCACACAGTAGTACCTGTGAGACACACAGTGCTGCGGACGGGAGAGCCTGGATGGGAGGGGCTCCTGCTGGATTGGGTCAGAATTAGCTCTACAGCAAGAGCTGCTGGTATATGCATCCCCTCTGCACACATTTACAATTCTAAGTCGCCTAATCTTGGTTTGCTTTTTTGTTGTTGTTTTGGTTCGGATTTTATTTTTTTCTGTTTGGTAGGGGAGCATGGATTTTATCCATCTCTGCATACTTGTGAAAAGTGCCTGATAAGGGAGTTGAAAGATGGATTATCTTAAGGGGGAGGGTTGAATGTACTCACTACTCCCTAGTGAGAGGGCCATCTGGTTGACCCCTCTGCTTTCAGCAACAAAAATAAAAGGTGGAACCACCCACTGTCCCATCGTGACCAACAAGTTATACCCATGCCATCAGCGTGGCTCCTGCTGTACACCTGCCACCTGCCATTTCCTGTATCTCAGCCCCAAGACCTCAGGCTTTTGCTGCAGAGATGCCTTTGTTAGCTGGGAGTTCATCTCCTCTCACTTCTGCTGGGTGTTATCCTGCTGTCCCTTTAGCTTTCTGTTCATCACGTGAAGCAAGCGTGTTATATGTGTGTATCAACAATCATAGCTGTCTGCAGCTCGATGAATGCTGATCTCCAAGTGCTGTAAGCTGCCCCATCCTCCCTGCAGAATCGAAAGCCACAGCTTCCCATGTTGGAACTTAAGTGCAGTGGGAAGCTCTTCCCTTTCCCCATGCACTTCTGAGTTCACTTATTGTTGTGCCTGAGATGTTCCCGTGTTATTTAGCAGTGATGGTGATGAATAGCAAAGCAATAGCTAAATCTCCTGCTCTCCTCTTAAGTTACAGCCATGACTTGATAACATATTGTGGGCATGCCTAGGCCAGAAAAGGCACGTGGTTAACCAAGTGTTGTCTGTCATATTGGTTTGTGACCTTTTAATGAACATTCAGTTGTGGAGATGAATTTGAAATGAAGATGTATTTATATGCTGCATCTACTAAGAGACCCTATCTACCCTACTTCATCTTGGCTTAGTTAATATCAGCTGAAATGATGGACATTATAAAAAGCATTATTCTCAGATCAGTGATATGTATAGCTGCACTGAGGTCATATGTCTTTTGTTTCTGTACAGATTTTTCTGTGTAATTAACAATAATTATTACTATTTAACTGTTCTAGTGGTACTTATTATTAGATATTAATAATGCACCATTTGTTTTTCAAGGAATCCCAGTGAGGATGATAAATTACATAACCACCCTAATCTGAAAGGAAATGAAGTTTAGTGTCATTATGCCATAAGCCTGTTGAATTCCTAGATTTGTTCATCTGTTCACCTCTTTTAATGACATCTCCAGATATCCTTCCCACCCTGCACCCTTGCAAAAACATACATGTTGTATTGTACCATGAAGGGTGCTGAGAGAATCTGCTAGCTGAGACAGCCAGGGGCATAAAACCTGAGGAACACTGCAGCTTACTTACGAAGCTGGAGACAGAATACGAGTCTCGTGATAAGTGGCACACGGTATCTGCTAACTAAATATTCAAGCTCGGTAGCTACTGGTCAAAGTTAGCAGTGTGGACATAAAGAAAGGACAGGAGAAGACCTGGAGCTGGCAATGTTCATCATGCTTGAATGAGATTCCATGGAGACTCCATGGGGCTTTGACAAAGGGAGCCTCTAGACTAGCCTGTGTGGTACTCTAGCACAGGTGGTCTATGGGGTATTTTGCGAGGGTGGTACTCTTCTAAACATGGCACCATGTCAGATTCCTTGTGGAGACAGTCTCTCCTTTACACGAGCAGGAGCAGAGCAGCCCCTGGGGTGCTGCAGGCAGCAGGGCTGGGGAGCAGCTCGCGGCAGGGCTGGGGAGCAGCTCGCAGCAGTCTGAAGTCGGCAGAGGTTTCTGCCGCTGCCCTGTCCCCACTGTCGCGCTCACTGGGTTCTCTCTTCTGTGGCTGTCGCAGGAGCTGGTGGGGAGTAACCCTCCGCAGAGGAACTGGAAGGGAATCGCAATCGCCCTGCTCGTCATCCTGGCCATCTGCTCCCTGATCGTCACCTCCGTCATCCTGCTGACACCAGGTACGGATGCTTGCAGAAACCCAGTCACAAACATTTGAAAGCGGGCAGTCTTCTGTGGGATATTTCCTAAGTAGCTGTTGGCTGCAAGATTTATTCTTACCAGGTTCCAGTTTTCCTTACACCATTGTAGAAGGATATCGTTTGTTTTAAGTGAAAACAAATCCATTTCTGTGCTTTAAATTTTTATATAGTTGTTGCCTAGATAAAAATGGCATAGATTAAAAATTTGCTGTTGTTTGTTCATCTTGAAATTAAAGGTAGTGCCATTAGAAATAATTTAATATATCCCATGTATTCCCGGGAGTTAGAGAAAGGATGAATTAAGAAAATGTTCAAGCAGCACATGATGATTGTGAGCCAAGGGCAAATTTCTTATTAGATAACACTGATGGATTTTAATACTGATGGATCCGGGGACAAAATTCTTTCAGGTAAGAGAAAACATACTAGAATCCACAGCAGCGCCCTGAAAGCATCGAGTTCACCGGCATGGTTTGTGGGGTAGCTGAGACAGAAATGCTTGGGAACCGCACAAACAGAAAGGTTTTTTAGTTTACTTTAGTTTTTTTTTTCACCTCCACATTTGTGAATAAAGTAGGGTGTGGGTTGGGCCTCCCAGAGTGGTAGAAAAGGGAGCCTTTGCTTGTAAGATAGCTATGGAAAAACACAGGGGCCAGATAGCAGTGTGTGCTGCTTACTCCGCTATCATGCTCACGTTAGATGCTCGTGCGCAGGAGCAAAACTAGAGCGTCCCAGGCCTCAGTGAGCTGAATGCACGTGTGTTAGCCAGCAGGGTGAGAAAGTGACCGGATACTGCAATGTGGGGCACAAAAGATAGATACAAAATGCAGGCAAGTGGTTAGACCGTTAGACCAAGACATAGGTGAAGTAAAATTGATATCTTTCTTAAAAGGTGGTAGACACTGCCAGGGAACAATAAAAACTGCAGACCAGTGTTCCTTGTGAGGACAGGTACACAGAAAGCTGGTATCAAACTAACACGGTAACATGTCAAGACATGACAGGGGCTGGATGGTGGCTCTGCTGCCGAGGTCACAGAGTACCAAGTTCAGCTCTCAGTCCCCACATGAAGTGGCACACAACCACTCGTCACTCCAGCTCCAGGGGCTCTGATGCCCTCTTCTGACCTCCATCGGTGTTTGTACTCAGGTGTTCCCACACACATGCACACACACACACATAAATAAATAAATAATAAAATCTTAAAAAGATATTACGTGCCATGGTCAAGTGGGATTTATCTTAATTCGGAAGTATTAAGTCAACGTACAAAACTCAGTGAAATGCACTAACAGAACAGCGTGCAAACCCACAGATCTTATAGGCAACCAAAGTGTGTCAGTGCCTCCGAGTGTGAGCAGAGTCGGCGGCCAATGTGTGCGATATCTGTTGTGTCCTTTTGTGTCCTAGCAATTGAGTGCAGTCGCCAGGCTGGGGAGTAGGTGCCTTTCCCTGCCACACTATCTCACAGGCCCTCACGGTCTTAGTAGTCGTATCTTTTTCTAAATTTTATTTTATTTTCGACTGTGGTGTGTCTGTATGTCTGTGTGTAGGTTTGGGCTTCTATGTATAGGTGCTTTCAAAGGCCAGAAGAAGTATTGGGAACTACAACCCAGGCCTCTAGGAGGGCAATACAGACTCTCAATCACTGATGCAATGTCCCATGGCCTTTGATAGCATCTATTAATACATAAAAGACTTTAAACTTGACAAAAATATAAACCTTTTTGGTTATTTATGTGTTAAGGGTCACTGTGAAGGAAGTGTTTTTGGTCCACAGCTACAAAGGTTTATTCCTGTTACCCTTCAAAGAATTTTAACTGTTTTAGCTTTTGTATTTAGATCCTTGATCCACACTGAGTAAGTTTTGTGTCAACTGCTCCATCCCCTGTGTAGCCCTAGCCCCCTTATAGTTGTGTGGGGTTAGTGCAGAACCCTCTGTTATAATCCACTGATCCATGCGTCTGCAGGTATGCCCGGAGCACAGCTGTTTTAAAATTATGAGGTCTGCTTTCGGAAAGCTTACTCTTACTATTGCTATGATCTCCTCATGTTACTATTGATGCGGGAGAATTGTCTGTATTCTGTCAATCATATTTTAATAAAATGCTGATTGGCCAGGCAGGCTGTATAGGTGGGAAAGCAAGACAGGAAGTAAGGGTGGAGCAAAGAGACTGGGAGTATTCTGGGAAGCAGGACACTCCCTCCGCCATTCCTGCCCAGATCACCGAAGAAGCAACGTGTGAGCTGACAGCTGGAAAAGGTACCAAGCTTTATGGCTAACACAGATGAGAATAATGGGTTAATATAAGCTATAAGAGTTAACAAGAAGTCAGAACTAATGGGCCAATCAGTTTATAATCTTATGGAATCCTCTGCATAATTTTCTTTGGGGGTTGCCGGTTGTGGGGTACTGGATGGGGCAGATACCCCAACAAGCAGGCCCCTTCATGTTACATACTATAAGAATGTGAAATAGGCATTATGGCGGTGAGCTTTGCTACTTTCCTCTCAGTTCTCTTCTTGCTGTGGTAAACACCATGCAAAGCAAATGACAGAAGAAAGAGTTTATTGTGGCTATGGTTCCTAAGGGTCAGTGCCCATAATGTCAGGGCAGAGGCAGTCGCCAGGTGGCTAGAGAAGGATGCTGAGAAGCACAGAGAAAAGAAAGCAAAGGAGGAATGACCAGAGTCTTGAAGGTCTCAAAGCCTACCCTTAGTGGCACACTTCTTCCAACAAAGCCCTCCAAAACAGAGCCACTAACCAAAGATCATGTGTTTGAACATATGATCCTATGGGGACATTCTCATTCAAACCACCATGGTAAATTATTGTGTGCCATGGAAACTTGCTGAAGACAGACTCAGGGAGTCTGAAGTTTTGTCAAGCCTACCTTCCCTGAGTCAAGAACTCTCAATTAGAAACGATGGGTAGTTATTTTTAAAAGAGCATGTGATGTGCTCCTTTCTGTGTGGAATGCCATACTTTTTCACCAGAGCTGAAGAGGCTTTCACAGCAGTCCTGCATGAGAGAGCCTCATCCCGTCCTGAGTGACCTGGAACCAGGAGGTGGAGGACATAAGGCATCACATCCATGTATACAGGACAGAACATTGATTGGGAGGCTGGAGTCTGGATGAGGGGTGTGGAAAGGCCTGTGGACAGGTTAGGGAATACAGACCCTCGTGAGTGCTGCAGCTTAGCAGATGCAGCAGGGACAAGAGCAACTTCAGAGTCATAATTAATACAAAGGAACTGGGGCACTCTCTGGATGTGGGGAGCACGGGGCTGTCTTTGCTTTCCCTTGAGCAAAGCTGTGCTTTGGTGACAAGTGACTTTCACAGCTTTGGTCTTGTGGTCATGTCACACTTCCTCGAGACTTAGAATGGTGTAATGGTTTTCAGAGATTCTCCTGCCCGATGTGAAGTGTTGCCAAGTCCACCTCCCCCAGGACCTAGGACTCTTATGAGCATTACTCAAGAGTGGGATGTGGTGAGTGAAGGCAGCTGGTGGCAACAGGGCCATGGTACATAGGACAGTAAATAACCCCAGACCTGAAAAGTGGCTCCTGGAACCATCCTGACAGCTAACCCTGAACTTTACATAACTCTCGTGGCATGGGAGCACCATAGAACAGGGGCCCCTCTAACCCCAGCAGAGAACCCAGCCACTGCAAAGATTCTGTCAGAGAGTGACACCAGCTGTCAGACAAAAAAGATGCTATAGAAAGAAGGAAAGTGAAGCCTCACATGAGCCTTCATATCCCAAGAAGACTTTGAAAGAGTCTGTTTCCTTTATCCATCCATTGAAATAAGTATATGGCTGAGCCTTGTCTAGCCCTTTGGTTCTGAAGACATCCATGGTGGTGTCTGCTTCTGTAAGCTGTGCTTCTGGGGAACTATGTGTCTGGGACTTGAGAGGACCAGGCAGGCTGAACACTCAGCACAGAAGCCACTGTCGGGCCCTCCTGGCATTCCATTTCTGTGTTCCCAGAGCAAAGCCTTTGTTTTGACACAGAAAACTGTGCCAGGTGTCCATCCTGTACTGCTCTGAAGTGTCCCCAGAACCCCTTGGATACAGAATACCCTCACAGGAGCCCAAGAGCTAAGCTTGCCCTCCTTCCAACATTAATAATCTCATTAGGAGCTGTAACCACTGTGCTGAACACTGAGCAAATGCAGAAAGTATAAATATGTGGATTCCCCTTTTAGTTAGAAGCCAGGAGGCAAGGGGTCCCAAGTGTTGCTATCATTAA